CTGATTCTGGCACCTAGGCACTCAACTGTGAAGCCTAGGCGCCAGCCTTCTGGAAGCCCTAGTTAACTACCTGGCGCCTAGGTGTCATATCCTGGCGTCGGGCTCTCTATTCATGTGTAGGGTTTGGTGCTTAGGCACACCCGAAGCTGGCGCCTAGGTGCCAGTTCACTTTGTGGTCCTTCGCTCCATTTGACCCTGTTTTGCTCCTTTTTGGCTCTTTTTTCTCCATTGTACCTGCAACCAAAAATACTTGAAATACCTTCCTTTAAAATACAATATCATTAAAAATGAGAATAAATGTATATAAAAAAGTAGCACATTTTTAGGCATGTCAATTCCCCCAAACTTAAACGTTACTTTTCCTCGAGCAACACTACAACTTTAAAAATATGTTGATTTATGTTAGTGGGTTTCTTTAAGATGACCTAAAAATTAGTTCTATAAATGTTATACTCCAACTTATAAGAATTTTCAGTAAAATATATGATATCTAAGGTATCAAAATATTTAGTATTAAACATAAGAATCCTTATTTTCTATTTAATTCATATATAAATGAAAATTTTCCAAACTTTGGATTCTTAGAAAAAATAATAATTTTAGAATTTATTGATTCTATTTGAATATATATTTGCTAATACTTTATGAATTAACCTTAGAATTGATCCTATTTTTTCTTCCTTAGAAAGATTCAAGTGAAATTAATTTTTAATTAGCTTCGAATCCTCAAGTTTCTCCCCACATATTTTCTTTGTCTTTTTTTTTTATTTTCTTTTTATTTTTTTTCTTTTTTTTCTTTTCTTTTAGGATCTTTTTTAATCCTAACTATTTTATGTGGGGATTACTATATCTGAATAGACTTTTAATAATTTTGAATTTCACTATCCCTATTTAAAGTTAAAAATTTATTTTCAATCCTTAATTTAAAATGTAGTATTAATTTTTGAAAAAAAAAGAATTTTAAATAGAGCCTCATTTCTTCAAAAAGTATTATTCTAAAAATCATTAATTTTTCAAAATTTAAATTTTTCCTACTATAAATAGCAAAATCATTTCCCTACTATTTTCTAGTAAACATCTTAACTTTTGTTTCAGCTTTTTTTCTAAACTTTCTGCTAAGTTTTAAGTTTTCCTATTGCATTTCTACTTTGTTTCAGCTTTTTTTCTAAACTTTCTGCTAAGTTTTCCTATTGCATTTCTACAATTAAAATTTTAGTAATCTTATGATAACTCCACATAACAAAAATCATTTTTCAAATAAAATTTATTTCTAGTTTCTTTTAGGATAAATAAAGTTTAACTTTGAAATTTATTTTCCTTCCACCCCCAAACTTAAATTTTTAAATATTTTACAACCAGTAAAGATAAATATGATAGGTAGAAAAATTAAAATTTATAAATACATGCTAAAGATTAAACTAAACTAAAAAGGAAGCATGAACTTTAGTACCAGTACTAAGTATAAAAGTAGACATGTAAATTTTCGGGTTTGCAATTTAATAGAGGGAATTGCTATATAATACATAAGGCATGAATATAAAGATGAGTCCATCTAACACAAACAACACTAACATTCATTTCATAAAAAAAAAATACAAATATAATTTACTACTTGATCACTTCATCACAGCTACAACACAAACAAAAAAACACTAAGACACCTACATATCATAGTTCGACACATAAGCAAAAACACCTACTTACTCTCAACATCATCATCGTCTTTATCAACCTCTTCATCTTCTATTTCATCCTCATCCATGGGTTGGCGATGATTAAAATTTTGATATTGAGGATATTCAGGAAATTTGATGTTCTTACTTCTTCCAACCCATTGATTTTGCTTAAACATTTTTATCATGAATGCATAGTATCAAGCCTTAAAATTGCTTTTAATCTTTTTCTTCCTATCCAAGTGTTCATTAAATTCTACATTGTAAAACATTTGGCTCTACATAAAAGCAATATCTCATTCAAGTATCTTCAAACGTTCCAAAATAGGCTCTACGTTTGAGCTATATCCATGTGAGGCTAGTGATGTAGATGCTCGAGAAGAAGATAGAATATCAGCATTACTCGCATTGAATCTGATTCTAAAATGCTTTTCATAAACTTGTACCTTTGTCTTAATGATTGGCTTCAAAGGATGTAATAGTTGCTCCCAACTTTCATAAGTAATTTCCGACTACTGATACAGGGAAAAGATAAGGGATGGGTATCCAAATCCTATAGAAAAATTCCTATAGCAGTATTGATAATTTATATTGGGATAGGATGGAGAAAGCTACTACATGCTCCAGTTCCAACACTTCTAATGTGTCCTTTTGGAAGTGGGTGATGAACATGTTAAGGCTCTCATTCTTTTGTTATCTGATCTGCAAGAAGGCTTGTGAATCTTGTTGTAGTTTCTTGATGCTGCAAACTAGGCCACGAACATTCACTTGAAGTCCATGAAAGACAGGATCACCTTAAGGAGCAATGCATTGAACTATCTTACGGTCAGCTCTCTCAGCATGGTAAAGAAAAGACAACACTTTAAAGCATAAGTTATCCTTGGTAGACACACATTCAGCTCAAATGAGGCTATGTGGTTGGTTGAATTGGTTCTGACCTTAGAAGACTCTAATGTCATAATTTTGAACCTCTCTAGGGGTTCATCCTCAGAGATCTATTGTGAGAACTCATTCTCTGACTATCAAGGCACTTTATTATATTCTAATCGATGTATTTCAATTTGTGCTGACCCAACACTATCTAAGTACTGGGAGTTTCCATCTCTTTCCAGTGCTAAGGAGCTCTTTGGTCTTTGGGTGCTAGCCCTTCTTCTCGGGGATGCTGCTCTCTTCCCTTGAGCCAATATTTCACAGATGACATCCAACATTTGATCATTCAGCTCCTGGAGCTGCTGGTTTATAAAGTCTCTTGTACACTATTGTGAGTTTATTTTCTATGTGTTGCTTCTTTTCTTGCATGTAGCATGATCTACACTCACCATAACTTTTAGGATGTTGAATCGTGATTTGTCAGTGAATCACACCCCAAGGAATAGAGCTTAATAAATAAGAGGTGAGAGAGTGTGTGAGTGAAGAGTGTGTGAGTGAGAGAGAGAGAGAGAGAGGAATGAACAGTAATATGTCATGTTCATCTCTTAAAACGATCTCCCTATTTATAAGAGAGAAGTATAATATATTGATATTACATTTCTACAACTACTTTAATGGGGGTTGTAAAGAATATTCTAGGTATTTTACCTATGTGAGTCTATTACTTGGCTACTCTCAAACTCGATTGGCTAAACTTGTTTGACCTCAACTCAATAAAGTTTGCATGATTTGTCAGGCTGAGTTGGTGATGTCAGTCAGCAGAACTTGATTAGTTTTAGGTCGTGAGGATAGATTCGGTCAGCTTGGCTTTGTTGAGCGATTGATCTAGTCTAACTGTTGACTCTCGATGACTGTGCGAGGAGCTCTTCTCGACTGAGTGAGACCAGATTATCAGACGACAAATGAATCACTTTAACCGGTTAGGTAGCTCATTCCTTGATGAGGAAAGCCTATAGAATGACTATAAGACTCTATTTCATTGCCAATTATAGGTCACTAATGAAGAGCCTTGGGAGCGTCTGAGAGTCAACAGGTGATATTGAGGAACCGGATTCCTTCCTTGGCTCGAATCTTCTAGAAGGTAGATCAGCGCCTTAGGTTAGCTTTCTTTCATTAATTAGCTCAGATGATTATCTGTCTTTCTATAGTTTGATTGGTTCGAATTCAGATGATTCGGTCACTATTTTTCTCGTTCTCATGGCTCGCTCGATCTTCAACTTTGGCTCGAATAGTTTTGTCTGATCGAATACCTCCTAGTTTTATGCGATGGGCCCTCCCTTGTCATACTTGTTCCTTCTGAACCGTCATATCTCCTTGAAATCACGGTTGGCACATTGTCGATGTATATATATATATATATATATGTTGCATCATCTCCTTGACTCCTCTAAATTCTAATTGTAAGAATTTAGTTTGTTCAATTTAAGGCAAAAACACTGATAATTTTGATAACTATTTTTGCAATAATTTTTTACTAAAATATTTTTAAAAAATTCACTTAGTCACAATTTAATTTATTTGAAAAAAACTTGTTTAAATAACAAAATCAAATAAAAATAGGTATGATTGTCTGATTGCGTTGGTAATAGTTGAACATTCTAAGCCCCTGTGAAAGACTTCTATTTGAAGAGATATGATCAATGGTGTTTGGAAGCGTTGTACATTGGTATAGGAGTGCCGAGAAGGGTAGCATATTGGTTTAGAGGTGCTTTAATGCATAACACATTGGTTGAAATTAAAATTAAGAATCCAAACATTTCATATTCCAGTGCTAACCCCACATACCACCAAATTCTTATGTATTTACACATCTAAACACCAAACTCTATACTTTACATTTGCACAACTCAAATCTTTCATCACATCAAAATTCCACCATTTTAACTTAAAAAGTGAAACATACCTTTTCTGGCATAGACAAGGAGGTATATATATGTAAAAATTGAAATTTAGATGTTAGATATATAAATACATAGGATTTAAGTACTACGTAAATCTTCCAAGAAAAATGCTCGCTAGAAATCTTTTGTATCTTAATTATTTTTTATGGTGATTTAATCATTAATTAAGCATATTAAATAAATATAAAAATGATGAACTACACATAAAAAACTTTTTAAAAATTTAAATTTATTCAAATGTTTCATCACTCAAAATTATTTATAAATATAACAACATATAATTAAGAGCACAAAGTATGTTATTACATACTAATTTCAAAGTGGAATTATCTTCTTATGAAATTCAAGTTCTTCATTATTTAAAAAATGAATAATTAACTTGATCCTGAATGGCTACATATGCACAGGTGATCTAAAAATAAATAAATAAATACAAAAATAGAAGGGCAGGCTCATTACATCAGAATCCCACAAAATTCTTTATTTATATTCTCTCACTAAAATCCATAATATCCAAATTACAACAAAAATTAAGACATCCTGTCCATCAATCTCAATTAAGATTGACAGGAAAAAAAAAATAGAAAAAAAAAAACCTAATTGCTGAGAAAAAATACTTACAAATGCTTGACTAAATGCTGCATGCTGTGCTTGATATGGAAAGAGGTCCAGAAATAATTTCTTCTTGTACTCTAAATCAAGCTGCAAGAAAGCTGGAGATCTTAAGAAACTAGAATGATCTTCACCTCTGATGTAGAATAAGGGGAGTGATCTTCAACTCTGATGTTTCACAACTCCAACTGGCTACAAAGAAAATAATACAAAACTATCATTGGGATATAATGCTCTAAAGTTTACTGTTAAAATATTAAATATATCCAGGATTCTTTATTTCTTTTTCCAGCCAATGTGCTACACTTTCGAGCACACAAGTTGAGTTTAATACATGGTAGAAGTGTGCCATGATGATCTTAATGATAAACAATGAAAGATATTGACAATTATGTAACTTTTCCATTTAAAATGTAAGGGAAATTGATATACATACAACAATTCCAATGAATACGTATATGTAACATTTCAAGTTTGATATTTATATTTAAAGCTCATTGGTGTCATAATTACATCAAAGCCTACACATGAAAAGGACAAGATCATTTTGAGAAGATTTAGTGATGAGGAGATTTTTATGCGATCCTAGCAATTTGAGTGTTTGGATGTACATATAAAAGTTTATGTGGTAGATCTATAAATAAACAATAATTATGTGGTATGCATGTAAATCTTCCTACATATAAACATCAAACGACAAAAATACATTCATATAAGAAAATCATAGAAAAGCAAACTTTGCATTTATATTAGTAGTTCATTTGTCAAAATTTATGATATTATCCTTAAATTGTCAGAGGCAATCATAGTGGCATGGCCCTTAACATTGTTCTTAACTTACCATTGCAGAACTGTTGGAAAATGTAGAAAAAAGCTCAACTCTAAAAAAGATGAATAAAAGCTATGCAGAACAATTAGATAGTTTTTACCTACAAACAGCTCCATAATGCCACATTAGACCCTCATAAATGATTGTGCAAAAACCCAAGATTCTGTGAACATTCTAATTCTTCAAATTTTTAAGCATCTCCACAACTTGCTTCATAGATGGTCTAATGGAAAGTGATTCAACAGTGCAGGCTAACGCAAGTCTCAAAATTCCAACCAACTTATCTGCCGGTCCTGCCTTCCATAGAGAAGGAAAAAAGAGCTCCGCACAGCGTTCTTCCTGTATCAGCAACCTGCTCCAGCCAACGATGTTGAACCCATCTCCATAATCCCAGAACGATGGATCAAGAGATCTCTTCCCTGACAACAACTCCAGCAGCACAACACCAAAGCTATAAACATCAGCCTTATCTGATACTTTACAGGTGACCGCATACTCCGGCGCAACATACCCAAAGGTACCTGCCACATTTGTCGTAGCATGCGTCTGCGACACTTCTAACAGTCTCGCTAACCCAAAATCAGATAGATAAGCATTATGTTTCTCATCAAGCAGAATGTTACTAGGCTTGATATCTCTATGAACTATTCGAGGGGCGCACGAGTAGTGAAGATATGAAATTGCTAGAGCCACATCTAGAGCTATCTTGTGAATCACTGCCCATTGGACATCTTTCTGAGACATATTATGAATGAATGTTTCAAGGTTTCCGCCAGAGAGATAATTGTAGATGAGGAATGTGTTTCTTTCTCCCATGTGGTAGCCTATAAGTGTCACTAAGTTCTTGTGTCGAATCCTTCCTAATGTTCTGATTTCGGCATCGAACTGCTGGAGACCCTGAAATTTTCCTATGTAGAGCCTCTTCACAGCTACTAAGTAATCAGGGAGCAGCTCTGCCTTGTATGTGGCGCCAAACCCACCAGTTCCTATCAAGTTCTGGAGGCTAAAATTGCCGGTAGCCTTCAGAACGTTACTATAATTCAGCTCAGAAGGAGTGGCAGTAAAGGTCACAACAACTTTACTTCTTAGATTCGGGTTTACAAATCTCTTTATCCCAGTTATCAGAAAAATGCCCAGCAGCACAAGAATGAAGAAGATGACGGCCGTAGAAGCAATAGATGCCACCATGAAAGGCTTCAATTTGCTATTTTGACCATTGGAGTTTGCTGTGTAATTGTTTGAAGGAAGAACTGAAGGAGGTGTGGCATTTAAACTTAAGCATGGCTTCAAAAATTGGTTTCCTTCGAATAGTTTACAGTTGGTTACGTGAACAAGATGTGGAATTTCACCAGAAAGGTTATTGAAAGACAAATTTAACATTGCAAGTCTTGATAGATTTGAAAATGATGGAGGAATATTGCCTGAAAAATAGTTATGATCAAGCAAAAGTATTTCAAGCTTAGAGGCATCTGCTAAACTCGAAGGAATGGAGCCGGATAAGGAATTCTTCGACAAATCCAAGAGCTTAAGAGATGCCAGTTCCCCGAGCTGAACAGGGATTGATCCTGACAAATAGTTACTACCTAAGAGAATTACTTCAACCTTCTTTAATGTTCCCAACTGATTTGTAACAGTACCACTGAGATTGTTCCTTCTTACATCGATATACAACAGGGAGAGCAAATTGCCAATATCAGAGGGAAATTGGCCACCTAAATTATTATTTGCTGCTTCAAAGATCTTAATCTGCAAACAATTTGAGAGCTTCCCGATTTCCCCTGATAACTGATTGCTACTCAAATTAATTGCAAAAGCATTTAAACCAGTACATGATTTCCATAAATTATCAGAAAGGGAACCGTTAAACAAATTATTATTCAGCAACAAGCTATATGAAAAGTTTTTATTAGCTGGGAGCATAAAATAAGGCATTGAACCACTGAACTGATTCCAACTGAAGTCATGGAGAATCAGAGAATCGTCTTCCAGCACTAATGCGTATGGATTAGCCTGTTTAGCACTATGGATAAGATTGTTATAGTAAATTTTCAAAATATCAATCTCATCCTCTTGCTGGCTCCCAAATAGAGAATCAAAGAACGTACTTTCTGTGCAAATCTTCCCGGAAAATCCAGAAAGTGATCCGGAAAGCATGTTTCTACTCACATTAAAATAGAGCTTGCACTGAACACTTAAAGCAACAGGAACTGAACCCTGCAGATTGTTCACACTCAGATCCAAGTACGTAAGATTTCCACAAGATCCAATCCACTCTGGTATGGCACCAGTTATGTAGTTTTGCCCGAGATTAAGAATCCTCAAACCGCATGAACTCTTTAGAAAACCAGGCAACTGCCCATCAAGGTTTGCCCTTGGAGTCCAAAGAATCTCCAGACTGGGAATTGAGAAAATCTCAGGAGGGATAGCTCCACTGAAGGCATTAAACTCCTCAGTGCCATTCAGGTACAATGATGAAGAGCTTCCAGTCAGGGAGGTACCAATCAAATCAGTCAGGATTAGAACTGAAAGCCTCTGGCAGTTGCCGAGCTCTTTTGGAATCTTACCAGTGAGACTGTTCATAGAAACATCCAATATTCGGAGCTCCGTTAACCTGCCTAAGTCTGCCGGAATGCTCCCTTCAAAAACATTGCCATTAAAAAATAAACTCTGGAGATTGGAGCATCTCCCAATCTCTGGAGCAATTACACCGACCAAAAGATTACCAGAAAGATTGAGATGATTCAGAGACTTGCAATCTGCAATGGGACTAACCTTTACACTTCCGGAAAGCCGATTGAACGACAAATCCAAAGTTTTAAGTGCCCGCAGTCCGATTAAACCGTTCGGAATGGGGCCTTGAAGTGAGTTATAGGAGAGATCAAGAACAACAAGAGATTCCAAGTTTCCTATCTGATCGGGGATCTCCCCAGAGAAATAGTTACCGCGGAGATCGAGAAGCTCCAGTTTGCGAAGCGAGCCAATCGCCGTCCCAGGAATCTCGCCGGAGAATGAGTTGTAAGGAAGTGAGAGGAACCTGAGATTGCTAAGATTCCCGATGTGGGAGTTCAGCATTCCACCAAGCCGCGACGCCTTCGTGCCGGCGAGATCGATGCCGGTAACCCTGCCGGAGGTCCCGTTACAGGTGACTCCATGCCACTCGCAGTGGCTACTCACAGCCGGATCCCATCCGGACAGGATTGCAGAGACATCAACAGTGACAGAACTCTTGAACGCAAGTAGGGCAGCCTGGTCCCCGGCCGCCGGGTCAAACGCCGCCACCATTGATGAAAATAATAACAATACAGAGAAAAAAGGACGAAGTTTTAGAATGAAGAGGAACCCCATTGCCGGCGGAAAGGGAGAGAAGAATGCCGCAAGCTTCCACAAAAGTCACAACTTTTTCATCCAAGAAAAAGAACCCATAGCCGGCAGTCGAAGAAAAGCCATTCCTTCTCCGTATACGATCGGATTCGAATGAGCCACCGGTCGGAAGAGTTCGCCGCTGCAGTCAAGCTTATCGAAGAAAGATTCCGAGTGAGTGAGCAACAGGGAAGAAGCGACGGGAGCACGAGACGGGACTGCTTAAATTTAAAATTGTGTTTATGTACTTTTATTAATATAATTAAAAAAAGATATATAATGTATATTTTTTTAAATTTGCCGGTAAAACGAGGGAACGGTAAGATGCTCCGCGGGGGCCACCAGGAGGAAAGAGACCAGCACAGTTCTAGCGGATCAAGACAATCCTGCCGGCCGTACCCAATTAATAATTTCAAATTAGGGGAATAAAAAAATAGACGGAAACAGGGAAGGATGTGGTGTTATCGGTGAATGATGGGGGTGTTTTATAATATAGCAGGGATTGGATGATTAGGGCTTAACAGACAAACTAATGGTCATATTTGTCATTTAGCACGGTCAGGAGAAGCATTAATTTGGTAGAGTGATGGCTATTTTTCGGATGCTCGTGTTGTTTATTAAAAGAAATTAAAATGTTCCGATATTTTTTATTGAGTTTTAAATATCTTGAATTCTTATCAATATTAATATATACACAGGCGCGGGCGCGGGCACGTATGTATATATATATATTGTAATCATTTCAAATTAAAATTGTTGAATTCAAAATTGTTTATAAAGCACGCCTGAGGAATGGAGTGTACAAATAAGAGGAATGTGAAATAGTAATGAATAGTAAAGAGTGTGTAACCCCTTTATTATGAAGACCCTCTATTTATAAACATAGGATTTTGGTCCTACAAAATTATAGGTTAGCCCCTTCATCATTAGCTTTTCGAGGGCTATTTTAGTAAATTATAAGGATATTGAATACAATAAGGCGAATCGACTCATACGAACGGTGAGAAACTTGTCGATCATTTGTTCCGTGTTTACTCCATTAATGCTTGATCTGGGGTAGAGTTATATGTTGATCGGTTCGAAAAAGTTGATGCTTATTCTGAGGGACGAAGTCCTTTAATATGCTTGCTAGCATTTGATCTGTTGGTTTATTAGTTCTATGACTTCCTCTTCACCATCTGGTACATTGGTCGCCTAACGATCATCCGTTATCGATAGGTACGGATGATCGACCATGCTGCTGGTCGCCTCTTTCCTCTGAACTGTTTGATTGTCTTGAGATTCATCTCTATATATTTACTTCTCTAATTCCATTGCTTCTTTAAAGTTGTGCAGTGCATAAAAACCAAAAAGTATTTTTCACCTGTACAAAAAAAAATATAAAAAATTTCATCATTGATCAATAATGAACTTCCTAGGATTTTCGTGCCCAAACTATTATAAATAGGCCATAGGAAAAGAAGAGTTTATGCCACCTTCCTTCCTTCTCATTCTTTTGGTTCTTTTCTCTTCTTTTGTGAGTCTGTCGCAATGGCTGGTGAGGGAGTGTTGTCCGTTGATAAGGATGCCCTCCTCAAGGCAATGAGTGACAAGCAAGCAATGGTCCAAAATTTAAATGTAAAGTGAAAACCGACGGGTGAAGCTTAGTGATCTAAGAGAGGGTTATGCAGCGGTTGAGAACTAGTGATTGTGAGGATCGAATCGGATTGTTTGATTTACTTGTGGGCTTGTTACTGGAAGGGACTTTGGAGCGGGCCGAAGGTCATCCTGACAATCGAATTACATAGCACCCAATGAAAATTGATATTCCTACCGGAATAAAGGAAACACCCTTCCAGGCTATAGTGAGGGAGACAACTTCTTAAGATGGTCGGGATGAGGTGATGACCCGGACGGAGACATCACTCCATCTGTAGATGAGTGGCTTTTTTTGTGGGTAGAGGGCTAGAGAAAGTCTGTGAGTGTGCTAATTTTTACACCACGTTTGATTGGAAGCAGATTTTGGTATATGGCATAAATTATGTCTTGAATGCTCACATTTCTTTCTTTGATGCAGCTATAAAAGTCTTAACAATCAATTATATATCGTTGGATATTGACGACGATCCTAAAGATGATGTGGTTGTTGTGGAACAAGTCACTGTGAGGGCGTGCATGCTGTGGAACAAAATGTCATGGACCAACAGATAGACAGGGAGAATTTGTCCCGTGGCGAAGACAAAAGCTCAGGTCATCAGGGTTCTCCTGGTGCGGCAAGGAAAGAGGAAGTAACTGAGGGGTCTCAGGCATTTTTTGAATCACTGGTGGATCATCTAGCACAAATGGAGGAACATTTTGCTCGTTCCATGGGATGTCCTCGGGAAGAGTGACAAGGGAGTTGCTCGAGTCTTGGAGAGAGTCGATTGGGTAGAAAAAATGAGGTCTTCGCTCTACGTATTTGCTTGCTTTTTTTTTTTTTTTTTTGTGAAGATGTTTCCTACTCTGGGGGAGATGACGCGCTTATTTTTGGAGTTGTTGGACATTAGAGAGGGTCTTGTTGTTCAGTCGAGGAATTCTTAGAAGGACATTTTTAAATTGGGTGATGAATTTACGTATGTGAGATTGCTTCACCGAGGATTTTTCTAGGTCAAAGTGGCAAACGATTGATTGGTTAGGTTTTTTCTTTCTTAGTTATTTTCTAGGGGTTTGTACGATTACCCCTTTTTTGTAACTAAATAAATAAAATGAAGTGCAATTTTATTTTTCTGGTCATGATTAAATTTTCTCAAGAATTGTGACTACCATTACAGGAGTCTGCATTAGAGGCTTAAAATGAAGTGCAATTTTCTTTTCTAGTCGTGATTAACTTTTCTCGAGCATCATGACTCCCATTACCTGCATATGGCATCAGAAGTTTCTATTCCATCCCACGACTTGCCATTTTCCTTCTCCCTCTCTTTTCTTCTTGATAGTTTGGGTTTCATGGCTCGGAAATTCTCCCAGGAGTCGTTCGATTTGATTCATGCTTCAAAGGTTTTTGTTCTTTTTGCAGCAAACGTGAGGGAGATCCAGAGCCTTTATGTTCCTCACCCTTCGATTTAGCTTTGGCCAGCAGCCAGCCAAGAGCGAGCAAACCAGTATTTTTTCCTCAGATTTGCTTTATTACAAAGATCAAATCAAAATGGGTCTTTGATAGCTGCTCTGTATAGAGCTACGGTCAATTTTTTATCGGTATGGGATCATCCTTGAGGAAGTTCTTCCAAATTCGGTGACTGCCATAATGATCTTCGTCCTTTCCTGTCAAAGGTTGAAGATTCCATTGTCAATCAAACTCTTTAACCATTTCTTCTCCTTTATAATTGGTCGGGAAGGCTACGTTCAGTTCTCCATTGGCCCCAAGATCCACCAAGTAATTCTCGAAAATAAGATTAAAGATTGATAGGCAAAGTTTTTGGTTGGCTCCTATGCAAGTGGTTGGAAAATTAGCGATTCCTTTGTGGATTGTGAGGTAAAGAAGGTAAAAACCTTGCCCGAAAACCTTTAGGACCATAAGACATTGATCGAGGGGAACCACCCTCGCTATTTCAGTACCTTGATCCAAAGGTGATTAATAGCTTGATCCACTTGGAAGGTACTGAGACCAAGACCGAAGAACTGTGGGCATCTTCTGATAACCGAAAGGTGACCAGGGAAAAGGCCTCTATGAAGTGGGCAGCTTCAAAGAAGGTGAGAGGAAAAGACGATCTTCCTTCATTCAAAAGGGACAAGGGTCAGCCTTGCCTACTTGTATCAGCCAAAGAAGGTGTCGAAGATGGGCTGATCTTCCTGGTACTAGTTGCTTGTATGTGTGGATGATGGCCAGTCTGGCCTACTTAATGTAGTTTTTTTTAGGTTATTATGAAAGGAGCGATAAAGATTCTCTCTCGACTCCCAATGCTTCTGATCTGGGAGTTTTCCTGGATCACCCTCTAATGAATGGGGTTCCCGCTATGACTTCTGGTGGGACTTTGTTTATGAGTTCAATTTATCAAGTGGAGGCAAGTCACTCCCCCATCCTATCTAGATTGGAACCGAGTTAGAGGAAGAACTTATGATTGTTGCAAAAGTAGGGAGAAAAACTCCACAAAGAGAGAGGAAGGCTCCAGTTACAGAGTTGTCTCCTCCTCTGAAGAGAGGATAAATTTCAGCTAAATGGTCTTTTACTCATGACTGAGGGGCAGGTGTTTGGATAATTGGGCATTATGTGTTTATTGATAGGGAAACAAGGTGGTTCCCTAGCACCCCTCTAAATGAGGATTATCTGTTGACTCTGGTGGAGATATTTTGTTTTCACTTGTTAAAAAAACATCGAGTTCACTGGACAAGAGAGATATGTTTCAGGCGACTGATTGTTATGATGCTCTCGCATGGGAAGCCTCCCATTTTCAGAGAATTCTTCTAGACAAGGTTGAAGATCAACATAAGTGGTCGAACCTACAGGTTCAGAAGTTAAAGCGAATAGCTACTATGTCCAAGGAGAGATTAAACTTTTTTTCTTAGGAGAAGGAATTTGAGGCCGAGAAACACGAAGCTCGAGCGGTGGCTCTTCTTAGGCACTAAAAGAGGCAATGTCCTTCATGATTACCTGGGAGGAGCATGTTGAGGGTCTCTCTCATCAAATCTTAGTTGGTACTTCCCTAGTAATCAAATCATTTAGGAAACATAAGTTATTTAATCTAAGTTGAAAGGACATGGAGGAATTTGACACATTTCTTTCTGATCCAAAGGACAAAGAGAAAGAATCATAGAATGGGAAGCTTGATGATGCAGGGAGATGAGGAGACTAAGGAGGAAGGTATCAGAGAATCATCAAACATCTAGAGCTGGGTGATATTCTTCCTTATATCTCCCCCCGCGCAATAAATCTCAAAAATGGCGCGCAAAAGGTGCCGACTCAACCAAAAAACGCCTGTCTTTTGTTGCTTTGTATGTGTTGTATGAAAAGAAAAAGAAACCAATTGAGTTTTGCAAAAGAAATTTAGTGTAAAGAATTTTGAAGTGAGAGATTTATTTTAATGTTGTGTTTTTATTTTATCTTTTTGTTAAAGTTTTTTGAATAATCTATCTTTTGCTAGAGATCGTCGACACAAGTATGATAATCTTTTGCTTTAGCGTGCAGGATGATCATTATTCACTCCTCGCATGAACTTATCATTGTTGGGTGCTGACGTTATTGTCAGGGCTTAGGGCGA